ATCGCCAAAATAAAGAAGGAAATCCATATAAATATTTAAACATATGGAAAAAAAGCATTTGGCAAAATTCAATCAAATTTAAATTTAATCAAATTTTGTCATTCATGATAAAAACCTTCAACCAACTAGGAAGAGAAAGGAACCTACTTAACCTAAGGCATCTACAAAAAATCTACAGCTATCACACTCAACAGTGAAAGCTTCAATTATTTCTACCTAGAATCAGGAATAAGGCAACTTCCCAAAATTCTATTCAACATTGTATTAGAGGTCCCAGCCACTAAATAAGGCAAAAAATTAAGTGTTGGGGAGTATGTGGAACAACTGTAGGAATGCAAAATGATACCATCATTTTGATAAACACTATGGTAATATTTTATAAAAGTAAAACATACTTTTACCATAAAATCCAGAAATCTCATTCCTAGGTATTTAACCAAGAGGAAAGAAGACATATGTCCACACAGAGACTTGTACACAATTATTCATAGCAACATTATTTATAATAACCAAAAGCAGGAAACAATTCAAATGTCCATAATTGTTGAATGGAAAAAAAATTGTGGCATATTCATACTATGAAACACTATTCAGCAATAAGATAGAATCAAACATAAATGCAAGTAACAACATGGATAAATCTCAAAAACATAAATATGTCCCTATCCTCTAGCTTTCGTTTAACGAGTGTGGCTAGAGATAAACATGCCAACATGCTGACTGATCTCACTTGAAATTTATAATCACTAACCTCAAGAAGTCCATAATCCTACCATACATAATGTGTTTCCCTTGTCCATTCACTGCTTTCTCTCTCTTTTCAAACCCACAACACTCTATCCTATCTTACTTGCAACTCATAACCTTGCTTCCTATTTCAATGAGAAAACAGAATCATTTACAAGTCTGTACTACCATATCTACTCACGTGTCTATACACATACACTCTGCCTTCCATCCTGATACTATAGACCAGGGGTCAGTAAACTGACATAGGGCAAATCTGGCCCACCACCTATTTTTATAAATAAAGTTTTATTGGAACATATTCACACTCATTCAGTTATGTATTGTCTAAGACTGCTTTAGCACTACAGCAGCAGATTTAGGAGTTGCAATAGAAACCATATGGCCACAAACCTAAAATGTTTACTATCTGGCCTTTTACAGAAGGAGTTTGCTGATCTCTGGAAAAAGTCCACTTTGTCTCAGCAAAGGCCAATCTCTCTATTTCTCAGATCTCATCTCTTCTCATGTCTCAAAGACGCTGCTCCTGCACTTCTTCCATCTCTCAATTTTTCCTTCACTATTGGTTGTTTTCCACCAAAAGTAAATATGCTATGATTTTGTCCACCTTCAAAAACAAAAACAAGCAATGCTTTCAACTCTTATTCCCACCCTAGCTATTTCCCCATTCTCTTTTTCCTTTTACAGCTAACATAACAATCTCCAAGGAGTTGTTTATACTGGATGTCTCTAGTTCCTCCCCTCCTGTTCTCTTTTGAAGTCCCTCCAATCAAGCTTTCCTCTTCTCACTCTACGGACACTGTCCTGGTCATGGACAACAGTGACTTCCTCCAGGTCTTAAATCCAATGGCAATCTTTAGCCCTAAACTTACTTGATTTGCAAGCAGTTTGGTTGATCACTCCCTTCACCTAGAAATACCTTCTCTACTTGGCTTCTGGTAAACCATATCATACTGGTTGCCCTTTATCTTCCCAGTCCCACATCCAACCCTTAGACTTCTCTACCTACACTCCAGTCTCATTGCTTTAAAGATCATCTATATTCTAACAAATATAAATTCTTACCTCCAGCCTTGATCTCTCCGAGAAACCCCAGACTTTTACACCCACCTGCCTATCTGATATCTCTACCTAACAGACATCTCAAACTTAACACGTCCAAAACCAAGTTCCTGGTTCTGCTCACCTTTTCAAATCTGCTTTACATGCAGCTTTTCCCATCTTAGTTAATGGCAATGTCATCTTTCTAGTTTCTCAGCCAAAAAAATCTTGAAGTCAGCTGTAAGTCTACTTTGTTTTTTTTTTTTTTGGTGAGGACGATTGGCCCTGAGCTAACATCTGTTGCCAATCTTCCTATTTTTTGCTTGAGGAAGATGGTCCCTGAGCTAACATCTGTGCCAATCTTCCTCTACTTTGTATACAGGACACCGCCACAGCATGGCTTGATGAGCGCCGTGTAGGTCTGTGCCTAGGATCTGAACCTGCGAACCTCAGGCCGCCAAAGTGGAGCATGTGAACCTAACCACTATACCATGGGGCTGGCCCCAATTCTACTTTCTTAAATCCCACATACAACACATCTACAAGTCTCTTTATCTCCCCCATATCCATCATCTGTTTACGAGCACCTCTGCTACCACCTTCTGGCCCGTACCATGATTGTTTCACATGGATCATTAAAATAGCTTCCTAACCTCTTTCCTTGCTTCCATCCTTGCCCCCTACAGTCTGTTGTAAACAAAGTAGGCAAAGGGAATGTGCTAGAATTTAAATCATATCATGCTTAAAAGCCCTCAGCGGCTTCACATTCTACTTGGAATAAAAGCCAAAATCATCAGTATGCCTTAGGAGACTTCCCACAGCCCACCCCTCACTATTGTTATCTTTCCGACCTCATCTACTAATCTCCCTTTCACTCATTCTGCACCAGCCACATTGGCCTTCTTGGTGTTCCCAAAATACTCCAAGTATGCTCCTTCCTTGGAATGCTGCCCTTGATGATCACTATCCAGGCCCACTCTTTCCTAGATACCCACAATGATTCATTTTTTCACCTCTATCGTGTCTTTATCCAATATCACTTTCTCATTGAGGCAATTCCTGACAAGAAGGCCTGAATTCTCTATCCCTATACCATCATCTTATATATTATATATTGTACTTATTTGGTGTCTGTTTCTTACCAAGAGAATATAAACTCATTGAGGCTAAGAGTTTTTCTTTTTTTAACTATTTTATTAACTATTTATCAGCTATTTACTTTATTAACAATATCTCCATCTTCTTGAATATTACCTGACACATAGTCAGCACATAATAAATATCTGTTGAATCAAAACATGTAAAAGTACTTTGTAAACTGTAAAGTAATATATGTGAGGCATCTAATTAACTCCTGAATGTGAAATATGGGCTTTACACTCTTTTTTTCAATCCTCCAAGTAACCACTTGAGTATTTTTTCATCCCTGTTGACATCTCAACAGAGTAAACAGAATATGTTTAAAGAGGTTAGATCTGTTTGTTGTCCAAGTTGTCAACAGCTTGTAAGCAGAGAGCTGGAATTCAAACCCAAGTTTGACTCTAGAGACTGACTTTCAACTACTAACCATTTCTGATCCATACAACAGGTCTGCTGGATGCTAAGTGACAGCTTAGGAACTTCATATCAGAAGTCCTACACGATGAGGAGTACAGATGAGGATTTACAGAGAAAAATCCTTTAAGGATATGTCAGGGATTGGGCTGTCTCCAAAGTACCCTTGGAAGCCTGCCATTTCAATTTATATCACTAGATGAGAGTAAGATATTTCTTATAAACAAAAAAATTGGCTAAGTGGGGGAAATGCATGATATTTTTGACAAGTCTAAGAATAGACTTGTCTATTCTTAAATCTAGTTTTTGGGTATTTTATTTCTGGTACAATATACCACACAGTTAATTCTCATCTCCTAAAGGAATTAATCTATCAGTTGTCATTGATTTCATTACAGATACATAACCCTTAGGATGAAATTTCCCACCTTTTTGGCTATTAAGCTATAGATTTGGTCTTTGTAGTTTTTATTAGATGTAAACTACCAAATTTCTTATTCAGATAAAATTGTCATTTTCATTGCTTCTTTCCTGGTGTCCTACTCTTTAAAATATGTATTTCATTTAATTCCTCCAATAAGTCAGGAGGGAAGATTTCCACAAGGCCTTTATGATGGAAGAAAAAATGAAATGCTGCAACCAGTCAGTCACCAAGAGGTCAGATGTATCACTGCCTTACCTATGTAAGTTCCAGGTGAGATTCAGAAAACACACACACACAGACTAATGAAAAATTTCAAAACACTCCAATGAAAATTTGTTGTTACAATGTCCTTATTTTGAAGTTTATTCACTCTACTCATAAGAAGGGCTCTCGAATATCTCCCCTAACAGAGACTTTTTAACCCCTCTACAGACACAATGTTCAAGTCTGGCTAATGGTGTTTCTATGTCACAGAGCATTAACAATAACAAATTGGAGAGCATGAACAACCAGCCCTTGTTCTCTCTAGCCACTCTTGATGATACAGCACACAATAACTGATGTTTAGAAAAATGATGCTGTCTTTTTTTTTTTAATAATTTTATTTATTTATTTTTTCCCCCAAAGCCCCAGTGGATAGTTGTATGTCATAGTTGCACATCCTTCTAGTTGCTGTATGTGTGACGCGGCCTCAGCATGGCCGGAGGAGCGGTGCGTCAGTGCGCACCCAAGATCCAAACCCCGGCCGCCAGCAGTGGAGCGCGCGCACCCAACCGCCAAGCCACGGGGCCAGCCCACTAAGTTATTTTTAAAAAGATAAATTATATTCCATATTCCCTCATTAATAGTATGAGATAGTATATAATATTATTTAGAAAGATTTCCATCAAAATAGTTATTTGTTTGTAAGTTTGGCACTATTGGGGATTTTAGACTTGAGTTATCTGTGAAAATCACATATTAATAATTATTTCATGAGAACCAAAGTAGGATAGATTAACTGTTTAAAATACCTTGACGACAGGAAAAGAAAAAACTTAGCTTAATTATAGAGTACATAAACATTGAGAAAATCTAGTTCGAAGTCAAGTTTTGAAGGAAGTCTAAAAACAAAGAAAAGAAAAAGCTTGCCATCAATTCGAAAACTCATTGTTTCAAAATAGTTGACTATATTGTTAGTTATATAAAGACATAACACATTCCTGACATGAGACAGAAGCATGGAACACTTTACCCAGGGGCACTCTGGCGGCACTTGCATCCGGATTGATCCAGAAGGAAAGCCAGGAGAGAACCACAATCAGCAGGGTCGGGGCATAAACACCCATCATGTAAAACCCGACCTGTCTCCTTAGGGTGAAGATGACTTCCACACAGGTGTAGTACCCTTTCAGAAACAAAGATATTAAAAGTATGAGATTCTCACCTACATACAACTGCAAAAATCAATAATGCACCTATAAATTGAGTCACTTCTATTTGAGGCAATTTCACAAAGTAGACTCCACAAAAATAGTTTTTTCTGTAAATATATATAATTTATGTGATCTAAAAGGATGACACTATGGGACTTGTTTCACCTGAACTTTCGCAGCTCCATTATGACATTGAGAAACAGATACCACATGTCCCTCCACTCTGTCAGTGTCTTGGCTTTTCAGCCTTTGTTCAGAGAATTTGCAATGAACTTAAACTTTTCTTTACCCAGGGGTACTCTCCGCGCAAATGATCTAAGGGAGTCATATAGAAAGCAGTAAATCAAAGGAGAACAAGTCTAAAAAGAAACACTCCTGGACTATGCATTGTCAGTATAATTTTTCAGCCACATGTACCACTTCTTATCTAGAAGGGATGGCAATCTACAATAACTCACATGCATATTTAAATCTTAAAAAATTAAGAAAGTATTGGAAGTAAACATTAGCAAGGATCAGAAATAAGTATTTTCAATGTATATAGATAAAAGATTATAAAGTACAAACATCTGACATTCTTCTCAATTCTCTCCCCTCCTCTCCTCCAGGCTCTCAAACATCCTCTAATTGAGGGCAAAAACTTCATTTTCACAAGCTGAGACTAAAGCAGAAATTGTTTTACAATATAATTCTAGAGCTGCCATAACATCAACAAGTCCCCCAAATCAATCACAAATTATGAGCAGCCTCATAACAGCCTTTGATAACTTGAGAAAGAAAATAAGTGACACAAATATTCTCCTAGCACTGGAATAGAAGAGACATTTCCAGATTTTTGAGATTATTTTTTAAATGTTTTGGTCCTTTCATTTAGCAACTTAAATAAAATAATGCCTAAAGTGCTTAATTTAGATAAACATGTCATTTACCATTCAACAAAAGTAAGATTATACATAAATACCAAAAAGTTAAAATATCTTCAATTGTATTCAGCTTAAACTGTACATAATTATTTTAAAATGTTGAAACAAATAAATGACTGAACAGTGAATAAATAAAATAATTATGGGGAAAAGGATAATATTACTCTGTACTATTTTATAGTTTAAAAGTAGTTTTTATCTATTTTTCCCAGCTGGGAAGAATATATATACTTCTAATGCTAGAATAATCTTCATATTTATTCATTAATGGTTGCACACCATAAGGTTTTAATAAATGTTGAGTAAAAGAATGGCTATTCACATCTTTTTATCAAATAACTTAGATTAGAAATCTATCCTTTTTTCCAATGTGAATTATAACATTGATACCTCTGAGAGATTAGAAAGATATTAGGGCTAATATGTAACAAAAATAAATAGTTGATTTAAACTGAAATAAATTCTGCCAAATATTTCCATATTATATCATTAAACAAGAAATGCAGAATGTTTGTCTTTAATTTTAATTTCCTTAAATTTTACATTTAATTTCATTAAAATTAGGCAATTTCAATTGTGCACAGGTTTTAAAAATATACCAAAGGCAAAACAATGAAAAATTTCCCTCCCTTTCCAGTTCCCCACCACTCATCTTAACTTTCCGCCTGGACAAACAAGAACATATGTTTCTAACTAACAATCATGTGCTAAATTTCCAAAACACAATCTTTCATAAACCCAATTGCAGCAATTAAGAAAGTATTTCACAGTATTTCCTAAAGGTGGTTCTGAAGTACCTCGCTTTGTAATAGTATCGCTTACTCAAGCTAATTTTATGTTCGCCCAGCGCATGTGAAACAGAGAAGGACACATATGTGCTTATTAGGTACTTTTAGGTAGCCTAAGTTGTTACAAAGATAACAGTTTAACTATGAAGTTGCTCACTTTAAAATGAATTTTTGCATTCCATTCCACCATGTTTAAATGACAGCCTGCATAACCTGAGTCCTGTAATCTAAAGCAAGTTTCCACCGTGTCCCTTTATGGAAGCGCCCACTAGGGGATCTTCCAAGACTCAGATGCATTCGGCAGTAAAATCCGTGCTTGGATATTATAGTGATTTGCTCGATAAACTTTTATGAGAAACATTTCTTGATCTTTTTTGATCTTTCCCTGGTACTGTTACATTTATGAGAGGCAGGTGGCCAGCTAATTGATATAAATGTTCATTGGCAAATTCAATTTACTTTCTATTTCCTGTGAGGTTTTATTTCATTATTATTCACTCAAGTTTCCAATTTAAGTATTTTTCTATATATTTCTCCACCTTTGTAATTTCTACAATTATTTAAAAAACGTAATTTTTAATAAAGTTAAAGCTGAATCACTATTTCAGATTATTTCTGTACAAATTAGAGAAAATATTGGCCATCATTTTGTATATGTTGCTCTCTATATCTTTTCCACTATTCTACATTGTTAAGCATTCCACATATTTTGAATGTTCTGTTGTCCTAAACACATTTCTAAATATTATCCAAACATTAAAATGTTTTACTTATATTCATATAATGATTCATGTAAATACTGATGAAGCATGTTTACTGAAACATAGTAAGTGCCGATTATTATTACGTTAGCCATAAGTCTTTTTGTTCTTTTCTGTAGCTAATGAGATATCAGTGACTTATTTACAATGACTTAAAAAATATCACGCAAAAAAACTATGAAAGTTTTACTTATCATAAATCTTGAGTAATTCCCTCAATACTCTCTACCACAGCACACCTTCTATTTCCTTCTTAGAATTGAAGCAACTTATATTTACTTTGTTTACTTGTCTACCATATTAGAATATGAATCTGTAAAAGGGCAAGGATCTCTCTTTTATTCACTGCTGAGTCCCCCAAATGGAGACTTTTACGTGTAAGGCTTAAAGGTGAAAAAATGAATACCCCCAGACTTTCAAAGTATAATACGACTGACTCCACAGGTAGTGTAACAAGGCCAGACTCACCATCCCAACACATTGCTTACTAACAGTAGGCCTTGAGCAACTGTCTTTGTTTCATTATTCAAATGGGTAAAACAGAGATAATAGAAGTACTGAACTCATAGGACTGTTGTGAGGATTAAAGAATTCTTGTAAAGCACTTAAAACAATGCCTGACATATAGCAAGAACTCAAAAAAACAACTACTAAATATGTTTCTACATGACAAGCCCAAAAGGACTATTCTTGTCTTTCAAAATTTTTTTCTTTTCATTACTAGGTGAGTTGGAAAAATCTCTAAAAACTATACTCGGTCTCCTCTTCCTTGAATGAGGAATATTATGCCTAGTGCCTTGGCTGACACTGACTTGCTGGTGACATTAAGTCATTCAGTCACCCTGCACCTCAGTTATTTATGTGTTAAATAAAGGAGCTGGCTTGGAATTATCAATAAGATCACTTCCATCTCTCATATTCTATGTATCTATGACTTCTTCATTGAGAACTTGGATGGTCAAATTTTTAAGAGCTCTCAGTTTTTCCATTTAAAAAACTTGATAATTCCTTTAGCAGTATATTTGCTCATTATCTCTCTTGTCCTAATACACTATAAGCTCTATAAGAGAAGGGACTATTTATATATAAATGTTATATAACCTGTTAATTTATTTGAAGGTCAACAACAACAGATGTTTCAGCTAATTTTATCTCCAAGTTGCCTAGTGTTGCATACATTATAACACTGTAAATATGCAAATATTCACTCTTCCTCTCATTTTAATATCAACAGGAATGTTTTAAATTATATTTTGTCGTTGATGATGTCATGATGGCAGCATTTTAGCTCAAACATCTGATCTCTCTAAATTCTACACAATTACACTATACATTTTTGTTTTTGTGAAGTCAAGATAAATGTTGCAATAAACTTAAACTTTATATCTATTCCTGAATATCTTGGTCATGATTTACTTCCTGATATAGAATTATAATGGTGTGGTAATTTACAAGTTGAACTGATCATTGGTATGAATGTAATGATCAAAATTCAATCATCTTTTTCTTTGTACTGCTAAGGGAACTAACACTATATTTAACCTCTAAAGCCCTCAATAACCCATAACTACCGGCAAAGACTCAAAGGTTGAATACTAATTATATTAAAAAGCATTGATTAGTAAGTACTGTATTTTCATTTCTGCAAAGCTTGATGTAATTTAATGAATGAGGTTAATTTGTTGAGCTTCTCATAATTGGCTGTTCCATAACCTAGGCCATGAATATTATACAAGGAATATTTACTAACGTTCAATTATTTCACATGCTTATTGCTTCCTGCACAGCATAAAGATCAATACTTTTTAAAATTAAGAATATGGGTCAACCAACATTTAAAAAGTGCCCCAAAGACAGCAGATGAGTATATATGGATTACATTGTTTATATCCATAACGTTTGGCCCTAAATTGAATCTTGCCATAAGTCGAATTTCTTGGCAACATCTAAGAAAACCACTTGGGAGAGTTCCTATTACTGAAAAAAGAAAATTGACAACCTCTTGTTATCCATAATTACATAAAGAAAAGCAAAACTATCTAGTAATAAAAAATTGAAAGAAAAACTTTTGTGAATGTACTTTTATGAAAGATTTAAATATACAAATGTAAAGATAAACTACTTATAAATACTGAACTTATTTTTTAACTAGTTTTCTTCTATTCCATCCCTAGTATACGTTAACATTAATGTGAATCTTTGAAATAGGATTTAGTTTTGCTTAATTTAAAAAATTTACTTACCGGTGCCTTTGTAGTATTTTGTACAGTTACCATATTCGATATCCTCCTTTTTAATATCAAATTGAGGCAAAGCAATTTTTTCTAATTGAACAGGATCCCCTGACTGCCAGATAAATCGTAAATCATCAGTTGTGTAACCAACTATAAACAAAAATAAATAAATAAAAATATTAGTTTGAAATATAATTGTTCATTCTTTCTTAATATTTTAATAATCCAAACATTAAATTTGGATTTAATAATCCAAACATAATGTTTAATTAAACATTAAACATTAATCATAGAAATGATAATAGGCCCTTTCTATATAAATTTTTTGTTCAAAATGTAAAGAGAGAAAATCTATGGCCACTAATGAAAATATTAACACAAAAGTTACAGATAATTGGCTTAAAGAAAGAACAAGTGAAATAATCAGCATACTACAAATAGTTAAAATCTCAGGGTGTCACACAGTAGTACTTTTGTCTATGTCAGAATTCTGAAGTGTCATCAATAAAAAAGTAATAAATAAGTGATACTAGTTTTCTGAATGTATATATTTACAATCATGAATATGCTACCTAAAAATTTTTAAATAAACTTAAGCACCGAAACACTTCTTTATTTTGAAGAAAGAACTACCAACTTCCCTAAAGGAGTTGCATTGCCACAGGAGAGCATTACAACCCCTCAAATGGACATCATCACAGCACCCTGAGGCACACATATTGGGCTTAGTAATGTGGCTACAATTCAAGGATCCTATGGAGTTTTACAGCATAAAGTAGTTTACCATCCAACTCAAAGGACATGTATCTTTTAAAGCAATATTTTCGTGTATCTGGTAATAGAATTGAATGTAAATACATGCTGGAATTTTTTATACAAATACATATTGACACACAGGCATATACACAAAACACATACACAAACGTACATACATACACTGACATCTGCAAAATCTCATTTTACAGTTAGAAAATAATAAATATTGTTCAAATTTAGGATCCAGTTTCAGTAAATTAAAATGAAAACAACAACAAACAACCACGAAGTGACTTTAAAGCATATCATCTAGCAAGTGTATGCAAGACATTTTACAAGGTTATTATTCTTTACTTTCTGCAGAAATAGGTCATGGTATCTAGGTATTCAGGCTAAAGATTCCTTACATTAGTATTAATTTTTCAAGTTTTATTTCCTACTTCTATTTTCAAAAGATAAGCATCAATGCAAATTAATATATTTTCAGAGATAAATAATCATTTCAATTAATAGTACATCTTTTATAAACTGAAAAATATATGATCATAGAAACCTAGAAAATCCAATTTTGTAAAAAGTAATTTCTTTACACCCATAAAAAATGAATGCTTGTTAGGATTTAGAGAATATTTTTCAATGTTCTCTGAATTTTCTGCTCTGAAAATGTGGTTTTAACATCAGAAAAGTTATTAGCACATTATTTTCTCCTTTACTTTACGTATAGTACTAATTCAAATGAGGATGGCAATTGGAATAAATTAGAAATTACTATACCCACTTAACTGAAATAAAAAGCTAGTACCAAAAAGATTGTCTATCTTAGTACAAATTAATATAGTAAAAGTACAGTTTCTCTAAGTAAATTACTCTAATGACTACTTGTAATCAAAAGCATTAGTTTTACTATTGTTATCTAAGATATTAGTAGAATGTATTGCCTAGAAATTTTAAGCATTTTTATTCCGATAGTCACTTAGGGTCTCATTTACGTACAGCTCTCAAGTTGCATCTTGCAACGTTGTGTATCCATGGGAAACAATGTCAAATCCAAAGGGCATGAAAGAGTAATAGATAACCTGAAAGTAGAAACAGAGGTCTTAGAAGTTGTTTAATATATTTCTCTGTGATACACTGATTTTAAAAGGAAAACATAAATCTACAAATATTAAAGATAAAAGAGTACCTCATGCTGACAAGGACATCTCCATCACGAAAAATAAAGAGGAGGATATTTTCCTGGGTGACATCATGAAAATTGGCACTTTTTTCATTTGCGAAAAATAAATCAGGTTTCCAGAGACACTTGTACATTGTGGGATCTACCGTCAGTGCATCTGAGCCCCGAAAATCACTAGGGAGCTTCAGCCTGGGATCATTCCATTTTTGTCTCAGGAAGATGTTAACTCTGTAGTCCTAGAAAAAAATATGTGTGCATGGTTGTGTTTATTGCTATTTTTAAGAATGTTTTCAGCACCAGAATAAAAAGAGTTTCAATTATTAGCAGCATAAATATTGTTTGCTCTTCCAACATCAACCAGAACCACAACAGCTCAGTCAACAAGGATGAAGAGCTCCATCAGTAATATAAAAAGATCCTGTGGGGACTGGCCCAGTGGCACAGTGGTTAAGTTTGGCATGCTCCACTTGGTAGCCCAGGTTCGTGGGTTTGGATCCTGGGTGCGGACCTATACCACTCGTCAGCCATGCTGTGGCAGTGACCCACATACAAAATAGAGGAAGACTGGCACGGATGTTAGCTCAGGGCTAATCTTCCTCAAGCAAAAAAAGTGGAAGATTGGCAACAGATGTTAGCAGGGCAACTGCTTCCTCAGCAAAGAAAAAAAAAAGAAGAAAAAAAAGACTGTGTCTATCTAATTGTTCTCTACAGGTATTTCCTTAGCACTTCCTGGTTGAAATGTCAGAATATAACTTTACCAATAACTGCTTTACCTTTAAACAAACACCAATTATACCAGTCGGTTAGTCAATGCCATCATAAAGCATGAGAACTGCTAAATATTACCATTATTTTTCAAAAAAAAAGTAGAATAAAATGTAGTTAAAAATAGATAAGAAGCCAAGGGAAATAGTCTTACTTGTCCTTTACTAAGTAGCACATAAACTACAAAAATAATTTATATCTCTAAAACTATATATATATTATATAACACATATATAACATATATATTTTACATATATATATATATTCTTGAGAAGGAAAAAGGAAAACTACCCTTGACCATTCATACATGTAACAATTATAGAGAGAATGAGACAGTCAAATGAGATTTGAATTATGCAAAACAGATGAGAGTATATGCCAAATTTGTATATGTTATGTTATATTCAACTATAGGAGAAAAATGTTTTGAAGTCCACTAAATAGCTGATTATTTTACTTTAGTTTCTTGCCTATCTCCAATAGTTTTAATTTTAAAACTTTGTAAAAATTGAATTATATCAAGACATAGATTTCAAGAATATGTGAACCTAGGAACATGTTTAATACCTTAATACACTTTATATGTGTCAGCGAGATGGGGTTCTGACACAAATTGAGTCGTTAGTATACAGTCAAACTCAGCATTGAGGCATCATGCTCAGGTCTTTTGATTTTAATCTTATATATCAAACTCAAAATATGCACAAAAGTATTCAAGACATAAATTATACTGGGCTTCAGTTCCCTCATGTTCAATCATTCAAAATTCACAAAATACTATCTATCCATAGCCTTTTGACATGATCAAAATGAATTAGATCATAAACTTCAATTCAAAATCCAAATAATTAAACAGGAAAAAATGATAGATCATCTTTTATTAAATAAGACCTAATACATTTCTGTGAAACACAAATGTATATGCTTTATATATGTATAAAATCTAAAATAAAGCATAAGCAATGAGCAGTGACTCCAGAAAAGCTTGGGGAATTTACTTTCTCTGTCTTCTGATGCTCAGACTCAGGGGAGTAACTAGAGAAGGGTAAGCACATAATAACGATATACATTTACTGAAGTACAGACAGTGAAGCAAGATGCAATCTACCTACATCTTACAGCTACTCTAAACTTGACATTTATAAAAACTTCAACATATTATATGAATTGATTCTGAAAAATCATATGCAGATGGTTTTGGAGTGCTAAAGTCAAATAAATTAAGGATTACATACGCTGACACTAAACATATCTACACCACGGGGGAAAAAAGATAACATTTTTCTAATCAAATGAACATGGAATCAAGGAAGGAATAAAGGAGGCCTAAAATCCTAGAAAATGTAGCATTGCACAGTTGCATGAACTTTTTGTCAAAATATACACATATCTTAAAATTTGTAATGGGACTTAATTTTTGACTGTGATGGTGACAACTACACAAACGAACTCAAACACATCTAGGACAAAGGGCTTTCTACCTCACAGATTGTGTCCAGCAGACAATGCTGCCTCCATGCAAAAGTTTTTATCCCATCCGTGCAAACATGCTTGGCTCTCCACTTAAGAAGGAATACACATTAGGTTCAACCATTTTCTAATAAAATATTAATTATGCTACCTTAGATAAAGCACATATTTAATATCCACTTGACATTACTTTGCACACTCAACAGTATTCAGTTTGAAATTATTTGCTAAAAAGCTTCCTTGTAATGATCTACCAAAATTATGGGTATTCTAAAATTATATACACTAAAATCTATTTTATTACCTTCTCTAAATACTGTGTCTTATCAAGGTAAATCACCAAAAAACTACATCTTTAAACTGCTGGATTTAAACTACATATTCACAATACTGTGATAAAATACTATGTCATCTTAACTTGTTATCAATGGTCACTATAAAAAAATCAGCAGATGAAGTTGCCCAAGTATCTTTTATAAACTTGTTATTAAAGCCATGGCCCCTTATTTTGGTCAATGACCATTCTACAAAAATACACAAGATGAATTTATTCTTTCTTTCTTTAATTTTTCATTTGTTTATACATATATTACTATAATACCATTACACAGGTATTTACTATTTGCTAGGCATATTTAGTCTAAGTGTTTTACGAAAATATATCTATTCCTCAGAGTTTATAGTATAAATGCTCTCCTGATGCCCTTATACGCTTCTTATTAGGAAAGTAAGACTTTAAGTATCTCATCATGTTTTTCCTTTTGACTGGCAGCTAGGGAACTGGAAGCTAAATCCTATAACCAATTGAATTAACAATTTATCTCTCATATCTTGGTCTGACTACCATTTTATGTCTCTTGCAGATTTAGTCCTATCTCAATTATTTCATTGTATTTTTTGTCATTATTATGATTATACACCTCAAGTCCCTTCTAGAAATAGGGATGGATGAAAACTAAATAAAATAACAGTTGAGAGACTGTCATATACTTAACAAGAGTCTTTCAGCATTATTTGAATAAGCTCCCAAGCAATTTTTCCAGTGTGGCTTTCAGAATCAAGATGCTTTATTTTAGCCTAATATTAGGTTTTCTTGTTTTAATAAAATCTTAGATATACGTATAGAGATAAAAATATTTAGAACTCATTGGTATTCTTCATCTACACCACCACACCTCCTTTTTGAATGTATGCTAGTTGCTCAGTAATTAATTTCTAAAAACATTATATCAATATTTTATGATAATATTCAAGATATCTGACAGGAATTAAACTTTTGACTAATTAAAAAAGAAGCCATCTTATAATGTTTGGGGTAGAACTTCAGAAATTAAGCCTGCATAATACTGAATTTCCCTTAAAATCTCCACACATGCACACATTCTTTCCGGAGCACTATTCTATGTTCCACCTATTTCCAAATGGTATGGTTAACTCATCTAAAGTTATATAGCAAAATTATTTTTCTTTTAAATTTTTTATAGTAATTTTAATAGTTTCTCCATGTGAAGTTCATTTTTCATTGAAGTCTAATCAATGTTTCCACACAATCCAAGAATATATTTACATCACTTATCAGTTATTGAGTTCAAAGCATTTTAATCAGCAGAAAGCTGAGTAAAGCTCTACATAGTATGAGAGGCTTTGACAAAATAAAATCTACCTGTGGGGAAAACTACAAATGATATAAAAGTGCTTTAATTTACAGTCAACTCCCTTTTTATTCTATATACCATCACAAATAATTTTTCCAAAAATTATGTTCATCAAATTATAAAGTCTAGTAAAATGGAGTCAGCATAGGCTTGGAATTATAAAGTTCTGATTCAAATCACAGCTCTGAATCTTAGAAGTTTTGACCCTGAGCAAATTTCTTAACCTCTCTGAGCTCAGTTTCTTAATATAAAAAAATAGGACTACTAATATCCTAATGTAATAATTAAATAAAATACTCAGTATGAAAATTAATATAGTACCTCCTATATAAATAAGTTAGTTTCCTTTCCATTTTACTTCGTTGGAAATCCAGCCACAGATACATCATGTACTTTCAGAAAACATTTATTTAAATTCCTCCTAAATCCCCAGGTGATTGATGGATGGGCTCACTCATTCAGTTCAAACATTATTTATTAGCCATATATTCCTTTTCATGCTCTGGGTACTAAGGATGCAGTTGTGAATACTCCCAGACTTCACAGAAATAACTGAAAGGGATATTGACAATCAGTCAAGTATAAAACAATCCGGAAAAGGCTATGTAAAAAGGAATAATTTGCAACAGGGCATCTAATCTAGACTCTAGGGATTAGTTAAAAGTAACCGAGTGGATTGACACCTACACAGCCCGTGGAAGTTAGACAAATCTAAGACGAATTATGTCCTGCTATGTGGCCTAAGGCAAGTTATTTAACCTCTCTGAGACTCAAATTCCTAGTCAATAAAAAGAGTCCCAGTTATTCACAAGAATTAAATGAGATGCTGTACCTAAAGCATGAAACTGGGCACAAAGAGAGCACTCAAAAAAAGTCAACTAATTTTATTATCTGTATTATTAACGTTATCATCATTATCTCTATTATCACCACTTTGAAGGCGAACAACTGCTATTGACAGCATTCCTTTTCTATTGCTGTAAACATACTACATAGGAGTTTTAATTGGTTACTAAACAGTAAAACTGATGTCAGTTTTAATAATTTTTCAAAAGCTTTTATAAAGCATTTTGTGTGTACTACATGTCAAGCACTATGTCAGTTGCTAGCCATACAGAGATCAATACAATACAGTCCTAAAAAACAAAGTCGAGATTTCTGGACTATTTATTCGGATTTCTCTGACTTAAGACACATTGACTAACAATGGCAAATTTGTTTTACAGACTAACCAAAATAAAACATCTACCTGTAATTATGTTCCAGATGATCACAAAAGAGGCTCAGTTAACCATCAGTTTTGCTGTGCTATGTTAAACATTCCTTCTCCCTTCATGTGTTCATTC